CTTGGGAAGCGGTCTGCGGGTCTTGCCAGGAGCCATCTTCTTGAAACCCTTGAGTGCGGCCCGGCTGCCCTCCAGGGCCCCCGGCCGCTTCAAGCCCTGACTCGGATGAAAGAAGAGGACAGCAGCCAAGGTCTTCTCGCCCTGGTCCCGGTTCCAACCGTCGAAGAACAGGTGATCCAGATAGCTGGCGAGGGCCCGGTCTAAGTCGACCACGGTGCTGAGCCTCAGCTTCTCCCCCTGGCTCCAGTCCAGGAAGTCGGTGTAAGCTCGCTGGTAGTGCAGCTGTGTCCCGTGCCCCGCTCGAGAAGTCTGTAAGAACGTCAGACCCTCCACGGCCGCCATGGAAGCTGCGGGCAGAAGGCGGCGCCGATGGCCCGCACGACGAGCCTGCAGAGCGGCAGCTCGCGCCGTCCTCTTGGCCCGCGCGGTCCGTCCTCCGCGAACTGCAGCAGCTGCGGCCGCTCCCTGAGCCCGGACTGCCCGAACGACTGGAAGAGGTGGACGAGCTGGCGCGGCCACCACCGCGGTCACCGCAGTCGCTGGCGGGCTCGACGTCGCACCGCGCCAGCCCAGCGGGGCGGGCCTCGGGATCGAGCCCGTCGCCGAGCCCACAAAGCCCGAGCGGAGCTGCAAGATGTCCGCGGGCTCGCTGCACGATGGTCCGCTCGAGCTCACGATCGAAGGCGGTGCCGCCCGAAGGCCTCGCGCCGCCCGTGTCCCCAGGCCTGGCCCAGGACGCCGGAGCATCGCGGAACACCGGCCCGCGTGGGTCGCGCCTCCATGCGCTGGCGCGGGCCGAGAGGCTGCGGGAGGGATCGTCTGCAGGATTCAACTCTGACGCAATCCAACGGACCACGACTGAAGAATTTGAGAGAATAGAAAGACACAATAACTCCTGACATGTTCGATTCAGCAATGGGGGTGTCGAACGCCCTTTGCCCGTAGCTAAGACCACAGACATGTTGTCGCGCAGAAGTAGGTGACGGCGGCCGAAGCTGCTGACATTTCGTAGCTTGTGTCGGGCCCCCATCACCAAGGCCCGCCCTTCCGCCCGCATGATATTCTCCGACGAGGCGAACCGGCCGAACAAAACGGTGGACCAGGTGTCGAAATCCCCGATCTGCTCCCCATCGATGTGGAAGAAGTCGGTGACCCCACGGCGGGCTCTCACGTGGGAAACTCGAGGCTTGGAGGGGCCTTGAGGGGCCAGCCCGAGACTCTGCTCTCGGGCGCAGATGGCATCCTCGACGCAGTACCTCCACTTCTCCGCACGGCTGGCCACGGCTCGAACAGCCTCGGAGTCCCAAGCCCGCTCGCAGACGCCGAAACCCCCGAAGTCGAACTCGGTGGCCCCGGAAGCGTCGGAGGCCATCACGCACGGGTCGAACGGCCTCTTGGTGTCGACAGCGGCAAACGGCAGAAGTGCTGCCGCGATCCGCAGCTCCCGAATCACACAACTCCAGAGACGCCACCGCTGCTCCCCAGCCATCTCACAAAAACGGAAAGCGCTGCTGAGGATAGACAGAAGCTCACGTTTCAACAAGAAAGCCCAGGTTAAATGGCCCAGGACCCGGCGCATCTGGACCCCGGTGCACCAGCCCTGACGGCAAAACTCCAGGAGCCCCAGACGAATTTTCCACAGGCGCCGGGTCGAAAGCGAAATGATTCCAGAGCTGCGTTCAAACGTGAGGCCTGTGAAAGACTGCTGTTCCGACGCCCCGACCATCCCTTTACAAACCAGACCACGAGATCCCAGGAGCTCGACGGCAGACGCGCATCCGTCCGAGCAGCATTTTTCGCTGGTCCCGAGGAAAGCGACCCCGTCGACATACACGGCAGCGAGAGGCCCTTCCTCGAGGCCAGCGACTGCACGTCTATCCTGGACCAGTCTGGAGGGGGGGAGGCCGGAGTCAAGAACAGCCTGCTCAACCATACACTGACAGAAGTATAAAGACCAAGACCACCCCATGGGTAACACGCGGAGGACGGGCGAGAGCTCACCCACCCCGCGAAGCTCCCCGGAGCTGCCTGGACAGAGTGCCTCAAGGTGACGACAGGAGACAGGGGGAAGGACACAATACTCTTCAATCCCTGCAGGCAGGCCGATCCGATAGAATGCATTGTCAACATCTGCCTGGCACAAAGAGAGCTCGCATTGATCTGGCACGTATAGAGAGTTCCATGCACTAGCCGTGGGCAACTGAGAATACTCGGGCGAATTGAAGAACTCGTTGCTGCCCCGAGTATCAAAAATCAGTCTCTGCCTGACGCCATCACTCTTCCACACAAAGAACACTCCCAATGTCGCGTCAAGGCGGCCTCGCAGGTTCACCAAACCGGCGGCCTGGAGGTCTAACACGAACTGGGCGTAGGTGCCCTTCGCACGTAGACGACTGTCGACGTGGGGCTTGAATTTCTGCACTACTTCCCGGCTGACACCGGGCCGCAAAAGATGCTGTCGCCACTCCTTCCAGAAACTTAAAGCCGCACCGCCGAGGCACTCTTCCCCTTCCGCCAGGACCCCGCCGGTCGGCAGCGAGACAAGGTCTCGCTGGTAAGGAGCCGTCTTCACCGGGTCACCGTACCCGGGCCTGCTCCCGCACAGCTCACTGCAGGCTGCCGCAGGGCTCACATCCGGGGCGCCGAGTCGCTCCCAACCACGTCGGAGATGCTCGACACCTCGGAGCTGAGCGAGAGAAAGTTGATGCGAGACCTGGGCCTCGCCGTGGTTGTACAAAAGGTTGAGGGCGGTCACCGACTCGCGCACACGCTCGTCGACGAGGGTCCGGCGGAGGAGCCGGCTGCGGACGCTGCGGCTGCAGCGCCCAGCGCCGGGCGGCTCGCGCGCCGCCGAGAGGGCGGCCAGGTTGATAGGCAGCAGCTCGCGAGCGACCACCATCCCAGCCGAGGAGCCGGCAAGGCCCGCCCAAGGGCAGCCCGGCCGGCGGGGGGCGCCTGTGGGCTACTTGCCCCCGCGGCCGCCACCGCGGCCGCCCCCGGCATCGCCCTCCGGCTGGCCGCCGCCGCCGCCTCCGCCGCCGCTGCCACGGCCCGCCTGGAGCCGCTTGAGCTCCGCCGCCTGCTGCTGGATCTTCTGCTGTAACGAGCCCTTGTCGTCGCCGCCTCTGCCCGCGCCGCCTCCTCCGCCACCACGAGAGGAGATGGCCCGCTCCTCGCGAAGCTTGCGCCGCTCCTTGAGCACGCCCGCCTCGCGGTGGAGCTCGGCCGTGATGTAGTCCTGGAGCTCCGGCGCGATCATGAGGTGGCCGCGCGTCTCCGAGGTCCCCATCATGAGGTAGTCGTCCTCGGCACCATCGACGCCGTCGGACCGGCCCATGGCCCTCTCGCGGTAGCGGTGCTCGATGAGCTGCGCCCGCCTGGCGATGTACTCGAAAGAAGCCAGCTCGCTGACGTTCAGTTGGTCGAAGGACATGGCTACGTCGAACACGCGCATACACAGCTCGTGCTCGGCAACGCCAGGGTCACTGGATGAGAGCCCGGTCTCGTGCCTCCACTTCGTGTGCCGTGCCCGCGGGTGAGCATCCTGGTCCGCCAGGAACCGCAGGCACCAGCGAGTGGTGCGCGGACCAAGCACTGGCCAAAAAGGCCAGCTCGTCTCGCTGAGGAGGTTGACGGCATCCTTGAACAGGCGGCGCCGCTCCCCCTCGGAATTCACCTTGATGCTGAGCACACGGGCGTCTAAGTCCCCGTCGCCGCCCAGCTCGTCGCGCTTCACCACTCTCACAACATGCGCCTCCGAGCCCATCACCACGAGCCCGAAGCCCCCTGCGACGGCGTATCCGTCAGTCGCACCACCGAGAAACTCCGTGCGGGCCGTGTCCGAGCCCGTCGTGGCGAGGATCTCCCAGCAGTGCCCGTCGGGCGGCGTCGGCAGGGCCCCCTCGGAGACCTCCAGGCTAGTCGGACCCTTCACTGCTCCATCCCCTGACGGCGTTCCCGATGCTGGTAGTGGCTGCTTCCCACGCAGCCGCCGACTGATCGGAGGACCGTTGGAGAGAGCCTCTGGGCGGCAGAACTGCAAGGCCGCTACGTGGTCGAGCGGCGTCGGCTCCCAATCGGCGCCGTAGACCGAGTGTCTCCTCCGCAGCTTCTGGCCTTCGGATGTGGAGTCGATGGGCTGGCCCATCTTGTCGAGCACCACCACTCCAGCTAGAGGCCCGACTGCTAGGAGGTGCGGATAGATGTCCCCGTCTGGGGTGAGGCAGTAAAAGCATCTCGTCACTAGAGCTGGAGGAACTGGCTCGCCGACGACGTCGGTGTACTCCCCGGGCGGGCATTCGCAGATGATGATTCTCACTTGCCAGTCCCGCCCCGCCTGCCACAGGACGCCGACACGTTGACCAGCCTCCATAGCCCACGGCACAGCAGCAGCACCCTGCAGCGGCTCCGAGCAGGAAGCAGAAGGCGCACACCACGACAAGGAAGCCCCGCAGGCTGCCCGTGAGTTCCGAGAGGAGGAGGCACCCGCCGGCGTCCTCGTGCCCAGGGATCAGCACCTGGACGGCATGAGGCAACTGACTGAAAGCGAACGGCAAGGCTTTTGCACGAAGGAAAGAGATGACCCCCATGCGCCGCCCTCTGAAATCGACTTGAGCCGCAACACCAGCGGCCAACAAGTACGCACACCCAGCAATGTACTTCGGAGAAGCTCGCTCGGAGGAGGAGGAGGAGGAGGAGGAACAGGAGCAGGAGGAGGAAGAGCAGGGAGCAGGAGGAGGGAGGAGGAGGAGGAGGAGGAGGAGGGGGAGGAGGAGCAGGGAGCAGGAGGAGGAGGAGGGCGCACAGACCGATCCTGAGCCCAGGAGGATGATGAGGAGGAGGGAGGAGCGAGGAGGAGGAGGAGGAGGAGGAGGGAGGAGGGAGGGAGGAGGAGGAGAGAGGAGGAGGAGGAGGAGGAGGAGGAGGATGTGACTTCGCGTTGCCCTGGGGTCGCTGGCATGCCCGCCGGCGCTGCGGGGAGCCGCGGCCGGGGCCCCCGCGTGAAGCCGGCGAACCCCTCGCTGTCGGCGCACCCGAAGCCCGGCACGCACTTGGAGCCCGCCAGCCCGCTGGCCAGCGGGCGGGTCAGCGCCGGGGGAGCGACGACGCCTCGAAGACATCAGGACGGAGGAGGAGGAGGAGGAGGAGGAGGCGGAGGAGGAGGAGGAGGAGGCGGAGGAGGCGGAGGAGGAGGAGAAGGGGCAGGAGGGGGAGGAGGACGAGGAGGAGGAGGAGGAGGTCGACGAAAAATCAGGACGGCGGTGTTTCGTGGTTTTCGGCCTCCAGCGGCCCTCGCTGGGCCCCGGGGCCGTCAGAGGACGGCTCGGGGCGAAAAACCGGTCCCCGGGGGAGTGGGTCGAGACGTCCGGGGGCCCCGCACAGGAACAGTCACGGCAGCGGCTCCCTGGGGGCCCTCGCCCGCGAGGCGCCTCGCGCGAGGCCCGTGTTCGGGGCCGAGGGGCTCAGCACTCGCTGGCCCTCACGGGGTTCGTACTCCCTTCGGGGGAATGGGGGCGTCAGAGAGAGAGAGAGAGAGAAGAGAGAGAGAGAGAGAGAGAGAACATGTCAGACACGTGCTTCCTCATAGAGGCCTACTGCCCCGTGGGGCGGGGGGGGGAGTTCCAGAGAACCGCCGCCGGGAAGCACTACCTTTGGGAGCCGAGGCCCCAGGCAACAAGGAGCATCAGAGGACCCCCAGGGGGGGCAGGCCGCTCCCCGCCAGCGTCTCGCCGAGGCCGGGCCCCGCCACAGGGAGCGCACCCCGGGCACCCAAGACGCCTGGAACAGAACACCAGGGCGGAGGCTGCTCACCGCTCTCGGCCTCGGGAGGCCCTCGCTCCAGGGCCCCAGGGCCGCGAGCACGTCGGCACTGGGCCGAACCCCGGCGTTGGGGCCCTGACTTTTTCGATGCGGCCCCCCTCCTCCTCCTCCTCCTCCTCCTCCTCCTCCTCCTCCTCCTCCTCCTCCTCCTCCTCCTCCTCCTCCTCTTTGCCCTCTTTGCCCAGGCATCCGCCGCTCTGATTTCTTCGATAGGCCCCCCCCCTCCCAAGAATTCCCGACCCGAGGGCAGCTATGTTCCCGCTGCGCGCTGCGCAAATCACTTCGCACTCTCGTGCCGCCCCCCGGGGGGAGAAGAAAGGGTGGGTAGGTGACGACGACGGCGACGACGTCGTCATCGAGGATGAGACACCGCGGGTAGCTTCGCGCCCTCGCGGCGGCCCTGGCGACCCCTTGGGCCACGTCTGCATCCCGAACCGTTCGGCTGACGGCCCCGGGGGGCCGTCGAAGACCCCCTGGGGGCCGTCCACGGGCCTTACAACCAAAACGTATAGTAAGGACGCGAGGTAAGGACGCAAGACCCTTAGAGGCGGAAATTGGGAGGGTACCTTGAGAGGCTGGCCAGTGAGAGCGGCCAAGGACGGGCCGCAGATGCAAGGACGCAAGGGCTCCCTGGGGCAATCGCGCGCCCTTCCTATGCGCGTTGACTGCACGCGGCCCGAAGTCCAAGGAGAGAGCGCCCACGTGGATGGCCCCCGGGGTCCGATGAGACGGGCCCCCGGGACGCCGAACTCGCTGGGGGTCGCTCGAGGGAAGGGGGGGGGGCGGTCAGCGGGGGGGGCGGGGGGAGGCGAGGTGCACTGCTCGGGCGCCGAGCTCGTGTCGGGAGCCGCCTGATGCGGGGGCGATGCATGCAGCGGGGGGGAGAAAGGCGCGCTCTTCGGGCCCACGAGGGCCCCCTCTCGGGGCCCTCACAGGGCCTAAGCGGGGGGCTACCGGAAGCTGCGTGAAAAGGGACCTGGGAGTCGGGTCGGACGAGGGTTAGGTCTGGTCTGGCATGTCCTCCTACAGGCGGCTTTGGACGACAAATGAGAAATAGTTAAAACATGTTCAAACCTAGTCACATATTTTTGAGTTCATAAAACAAGGAACACCTATTTTTGGATACTCCTCCTGTGAAGGGATGCGTTGTAGGCGCGGGCCAGTGGGCAGGCCTTCGCACATTGAGGTTCCAGGAGGTTTTTCGGCATGTTCGGTCTCAGGGGGCCGTTTTCTCGGCCCCTGGGTCGTGGTTTCGTTTTCTCTGCTCCAGTTCGTGATCTCGTTTTCTTGTTTTCTCGGCCCCTGGGTCGTGGTGTCATTTTTCCTCTGACCCTTGTTAGTTTTCTCGTTTTCTCGTTGTCTCGGCCCCTGGGTCGTGGTCTCGTTTTCTCTGACCCTGGTTCGTTGTTTGTTTTCTCGGCCCCTGGATCATGGTCCCGTTTGCTCGAACCCTGGTTCGGTTTCTCGTGTTCTCCGTTTCTCGGCCCCTGGATTGTGGTTCTGTTTTCTCTGACCCTGGTTCGTTTTCTCGTTTTCTCGTTGTCTCGGCCCCTGGGTCGTGGTCTCGGTTTCTCGGGCCCCGGTTCGTTTTCTCGTTTTCTCGTTTTCTCGGCCCCCGGGTCGTTGTCTTGTTTTGTCGTTTTCTCGGCTCTTGGGTCGTGGTCTCGTTTTCTCAGACCCTGATTCGTTATCTTGTTTTCTTGTTTTACCGTCCCCTGGGTCGTGGTCTTGTTTTTTCGGACCCTGGCTCGTTTTCTCGTTTTCTTGTTTTCTCGGCCCCTGGGTCGTGGTCCAGATTTCTCGGACCCTGGTTTGTTTTATCGTTTTCGCATTCTCTCTGCCCCTTGGTCGTGGTCTCGTTTTCTCGGACCCCGTTTCGTTTTCTCGTTTGCTTGTTTTCTCGGCTCCTGGATTGTGGTTTTGTTTCTCGGACCCTGGTTTGTTTTCTCGTTTTCTTGTTTTCTCGGCCCCTGGGCCGTGGTCTCGGTTTCTCGGGCCCCGGTTCGTTTTCGCGTTTTCTCGTTGTCTCGGCCCCTGGATCGTGGTCTTGTTTTCTAGGGCCCTGGTTCGTTTTCTTGTTCTCTCTGCCCCTTGGTCGTGGTCTCGTTTTCTCGGGCCATGATTATTTTTGTTGTTTTCTCGTTTTCTCTGCCCCTGGGTCGTGGACTCGTTTACTCTGACCCTGGTTCGTGGTCTCGTGTTCTCTGCCCCTAGGTCGTGGTCTCGTTTTCTCTGGCCCTGGTTCGTGTTCTCGTTTCTCGTTTTCTTGGCGCCTGGGTCGTGGTCCAGTTTTCTCTGACCCTGGTTAGTTTTCTCGTTTTCTTGTTTTCTCGGCCCCTGGGTCGTGGTTTCGTTTTCTCGGACGCTGGTTTGTTTTCTCGTTGCCTCGTTTTCTCGGCCCCTGGTTCGTAGTCTCGTTTTCTCAGACCCTGATTCCTATTATCGTTTTCTCGTTTTCTCGGCCCCTGGGTCGTGGTCTTGTTTTTGAGGACCGATATTCGCGTTTTCTCAGCCTGGGTCGTGGTCTCGTTTGCTCGGACTTTGGTTTGTTTTATCGGTTTTTCGTGTTCTCGGCCCCTAGGTCGTTATCGTGTTTTCTCGAACCCTGGTTCATTGTCTCGTTTTCGCGTTTTCTTGGCCTTTGGGTTTTTGTCTCGATTTCTCGGGCCCTGGTTCGTTGTATCGTTTTTCTCGTTTTCTCGGCCTTTGGGTTGTGTTCTCGCTCTCTCGGGACCTGGTTCGTTTTCTCGTTGTCTCGTTTTCTCGGCCCCTGGGTCGTGGCTTTGTTTTCTCGGGCACTGGTTCGTTTTCTCGTCGTCTCGTTTTGTCGCCCCCTGGGTCGCTTTCTCGTTTTCTCGTTTTTTGGACCCTCGTTCGATTTCTCGTTTTCTCGGCTTCTGGGCCGTGGTCTCGTTTTCTCAGACCCTGCTTCGTTTCCTCGTTTTCTCAACCCCTGGGTCGTGGTCTCGTTTTCTCTGACCCTGGGTCGTCGTCGTCGTCGGACGTCGGTCGCGCGTCGTCCGTCGCCGTCTTCGCATGACCTCGCCCTCGTCGTGACGACTACAACGAGGTCATGTGAAGACGGCGACAATGACGGCGACGGCGGCGACAACGGCGACGAGGACGACGACGGCGTCGTACGAAGACGTCGAGCGACGGCGACGGCAACGACGACGGCGACGGGGGAGGATCGTCCGGCAGGGGGAGCTCAAGGGAGGGGGGTGCTAGCTTCCAGCAGGGGGTGTTCAAGGGGGGGGTAGCTAAGCGCCCCCCCCCTTTGGAAAAGGGGGGGAGGAGGGGGTAGCTTCCGGAGCGGCAGAAAGGGGGGGGAGGGGGGGGGGGTAGCTCCCAGGGGGGAAGAAAAAAGGAGGGAGGGGGGGGGTAGTTTCCAGCAGGGGGGTTCAAGGGGGGGGAGCTAAGCGCCCCCCCCCTTTGGAAAGGGGGGGAGGGGGGGTAGCTTCCAGAGCGGCAGAAGGGAGGGAGGGGGGGGTAGCTTCTGGGGGGGGACCAAAAAGGGGGGAGGGCAGGGGGTTAGCTTCCAGCAGGGGGGGGCCCAAGGGGGAGGGGGGGTAGCTAAGGGGGGCCCCCCCCTTGCGAGTTCCGCGCGCGCGCGAACATCGCACCGTCGGACGTCTGCCTGTTGCCCCCCAAATTTTTCCTACAAGCAAGCTCGCGCGTGATCCGCATGTTGCATCCGCTTCGCCAATGCGCCCTCAGGGCGCGGCATCTTCGTTCGTTCGCGGCTGGGCGTTTTCGCACAAGGTTCGGGCCCGCGGGTCCCTCAAGGACTGGTCCGACTCCCGATGCGTCGCGCAAAAACGGGGTCGACAAAATGTTTAACGATGCGTTCCCCCTCCACTGAGCTTCGGTCGGGCATGTCCCCCTACAGGCAGGATCTTTCGGAGGAGAAATGAAACATGGTCCAACCGAATATTCGAAAGTGGTCCGAAGATGCAAACAGATCGTCCCCATACTGCTTTTGACCACTTTGGACCATGCCTCCTGGTAGGGGGACACGCCCAACTTAACACCAGGCTTTGCCCAGTGGGTACGTACCACATTCTCGGAGGAGCAGTCGGTGCGGGGCCTGCGCCGGCCGCGGTGTCTTTGAAGGGGCCCTGGGACACTAATAAATACACACAAATAAAATACTTCCCCATATGTTCCTAATTTTTCTGGGTTTTTGTCTTCCCCCCCACTTCCCATATTTCCCTATATCATATTTTCTAG